TACCCTACTATTCTTAACACTCCCCCTCAAATTGGACTATATATATCATATAATCCAAATTTAGAACAAATAACTGTAAGATGTGTACGACTCGATACTTTGATAAACATATCTGTAAGCTGATCTTCAGATTTCACAAATAGAGTTGTAATTTCCCTAGCTACTATCTTGTCCCGAATAAAGTGACAATCAACCTCAATATGCTTGGTTCTCTCATGAAACACAGGATTGACAACGATATGGATAGCTGTCTGGTTATCACAGAATAATTGTAAATGAAGTTGAACTAGAAACCCAATTTCCTGGAGAAAGTGTAGTAGTCAAGTCAACTCACTTGTTGTATGGGTCATTGCCCTATACTCAGCCTTAGCACTGGATCTTGCTACCACGGGTTGTTTCTTACTTTTTCATGAGACGACATTACCTCCTAAGAAAGTACAATAATCAGTGGTTAATCTCCGATCAAAAAGAGAGTCAACCCAATCAGCATCTGAGAAATCTTCCACTTTAAGATGTCCATTAGCTCGATATAACAGGCCAAGTCCAGGAGCTCGTTTAAGATATCGCAGAATACGAGTAACTGCCTCCCAATGTGGTACTCTAGGGAATCCCATGAACTGACTTACTATACTAACTGTATAGGAAATATCCAGTCGAGTAATAGTGAAATAATTAAGCTTCCCAACCAATTTACGATACCAACCCAGATTCTCAAACAATGCACCATCATCCATCAATAATTGTTGATTCGGATCCATAGGAACATCAATCGGTCTACCACCTAGCAAACCTCCTTCCTCAAGCATATCAAGTACATATTTCCTTTGGGATAAACAAATATCCTATTTAGATCCAACTACCTCAATACCCAAGAAATACCTGAGTTTTTCCAAATCCTTAGTATGAAATCAATCTTGTAAGAATATTTTTAACTTGAAAATCCCATCAGAATCATTTTCAGTAATCACAATATCATCTATATAGACTACTAATAGGACATATCCAACATCTGTCTGTCTATGAAACACAGAATGATCTGTCTGACATCGAAAAAGACCAAACTCTAAAACTGCATCTAAAAACTTACCAAACCATGCCCTCGGTGACTGCTTCAACTATACAAAGATTTCTTTAACCGACATACACTCTTCACTTCCCCTGAGCAATAAACTCAGGTGACTACTCCATGTATATTTCTTAAACCAAGTCACTATGTAGGAAGGCAATCTTGACGTCTAACTGAAACAAGGGTCAATCCAGATTAGCAACCAAAGAAATCAAGATACGAACAGAGAAAATTTTGACAATAGGAGAAAAAGTCTCCTCATAATCAACACCATAAATCTGAGTAAAGTATTTTGTAATAAGCCGAGCTTGGAAACGCTCTATAAAACCATCTGGATGAAATTTAACAGTGTACAGCCAACGACAGCTAACAGTTCGTTTACCAGGAGATGAAGAAACGAGATCCCAAATCCCATTATGATGTAAGGCATCTATCTCCTCCTCTATAGCTTTTCTCCAACCCGGATCAAATAATGCATCCTGTAAATGCTTAAGAATAGATATAACAGATAATTGGGAAGTAAAACAAGAGAAGACAAGAGACAAGACATCATATAAAACAAAATAAGAAATGGGATGATTAGAAACACACGAACGAGTACCTTTGCGAAGAGCAATAGGTAAAGAGTCTAAATTACCTGATGTACCAGGATCAGAAGACGACAAGGAAGATAGGAAAATATCAGGACTCAAGTGAGTAGAACAAGTACCATTAGCAAGGGTAACACCACGTGTGAAAGTAGCAGACTTATAAGTAGAAAAAATATCAGACGCACCAGTCATGTGATCAGAGACGTCAGAGTCTATGATCCAAAAACTTCGAGTGGAGGACAATAAACAAGTGGAAGCAGTACCTGACTGGGCAAAAGTAGCAGTGGAGGGAGATGGAACAGCCTGCAGTTGGGACAAAAACTGAGCATACTCCTCCCATGTAAGAGTAACTGATACAGAATCAGGAGGAGCGGACCGAGGTACAACTGCAGGAGTCAGAGTGTCATCCTGATAAGAAACCTGATTAGCAACACCCGAAGGCTTGCCATGTAAATTCCAGCAATAATCAATAGTGTGACCTCCACAACCACAGTGAGAGCATGATCGAGATCCTGAACGCCCCCCACGACCTCCAGTACGGCTGCCAGTGCGGCCTCCCCGACCACCTCGACCACCACAGTTACTATAACCACCTCGAGAACTGTCACCATGGCTACTCGGGACAACAAGAGTTGAACAATCAGCAAGCACACCAGACTCTGTGTTGGATGAACCGGTAGAGAAGGTAGCACGCTGCAAACGGGAGAAGACCTTTAGCAAAGATGGAAGACTAGAGCCACCCAAAATCTGAGAACGAATAGACTCATATTTAGGTTTCAAACCAACTAAAAATCGAACAACATTCAAAACCCCATGTTGCTTCTGCCAAACCGCTGCATCAGTA